TCTTCTTCTTCTTCTTCTTCTTCTTCTTCTTCTTCTTCTTCTTCTTCTTCTTCTTTCTCCTCCTCCTCCTCCTTCTTCTTCTTTTTCTTCTTTTTAAAGATTAATTTATTTTATTTATGTGTGTGTGAGTGCCTGCACACGTTTTTGTGTCCCGTGTGTGTGAGGTGCCTTGGAGGCAGAGGACTTGGGCTCCCTGGAGTGGCAGGCGGTTGTGAGCTGCCTGGTGTGGCTGCTGGGAAGCAGACCTGGGTCTCTGCGGGAGCAGTTGGCGCGCTCCCTGCTGAGCTCGCTCTAGCCGGGTTGATTCTTCTTGACCATTATTCTCCGAATGTGGATCGTTTCCCTGCCGCCGCCAGACAATGCTAAGGATGGGGTGAGTCAGACTCCACTCGCCAGCGGGGATCATTCCTCAGAGATGACCAGGTGCCGCCCCACTGCTGGACAACAGTGGCCAAGGCCAGCTTTGCCCTCAGGGGAGGGCAAGGCGAAGGGGTCTGGGCAAAGCTGAGTCACCTCTGTCCACACTGCTGTTGTCTGGGCCCAAGGACCAATCGTCCTTGGTGACCATGGGAGCAGGGTGGCCATGTGCGCCACCATGCCTGACCAGAGGTAGAGGGTTTCTGTTGATTTTTTGTTTCTGTTTTGGTATTTTTGAGACAGGGTTTCTCTGTATAGCCCTGGCTGTCCTGGAACTAGCTTTATGGATCAGGCTGGCCTCGAACTCACAGAGATCCACCTGCTTCTGCCTCCTGAGTGCTGGGATTAAAGGTGTGCGCCACCACCTCCCAGCTTAGGTAGAGGTTTTCGTTAGAAAGAACTGGACTTAGAAAAGGGGAATAGCACTGATTTGGGGATCTGGGGCTGCCACTCACAGGGATTGCTTGAGGGATGTGGGGGTCCCTTAGTTATGAGGGTTATTTAAGAGGACTTTCTCATGTAAGATACAGATCAGTGTCCAGGTTATCCCTGAGACTTATGGCGTCATCCTCTATCTGGTGGGGTGCCCCTTTTGATAAGGAACAAGGGACAGGCACATTTTACTTATTGATAGTGAGGATGAAAAACTGAGTCTCCATGAATGTGTCCCTATTATTTTATCCCCCCAAGATGTCTTCTCCAGGTGTGTGTGTGTGTGTGTGTGTGTGTGTGTGTGTGTGTGTGTGTATGTGTGCGTGCGTGCGTGCTTGTGCACAAGGAAGGCAGGGGGTGATGTTGAATGTCTCCTCTATTGCTCACCTTTTCGAGACAGGGTTTCTCTGTGTAGCTTTGGTGCCTGTCCTGGATCTCAATCTGTAGACCAGGCTGGCCTCGAACTCACAGAGATCCGCCTGCCTCTGCCTCCTGAGTGCTGGGATTAAAGGTGTCACTGCCTGGCTAGGAATTAGTTCTATAGCACACTTATGCTGGTGTGTCCCAATGCCCCTAATTCTGTTGTAAATGACCAGCCCAGGTACAATGTGTCCCCCAGAGCAGTCTCCTATGTCATGTTGGTTACCAATGTCCCCAAGACTTAGAGAGACGATCTCAAGTCTTGGAGGAACTCGGCCAGAGCTGCAGCCCTGGGAAGGCTGCTGGGGAGCCTGGACAGAGTTGAAGCTCTGGAGGATGCTGAGTCTTAGGAACAAGGACCACAAAAGAGAAAGGTGGGTGTTGTTGAAACGTTTCCTCAGCAGGGAGAAATGGATACACACTCCTGAGGAGGAGCGTTGGGTATTTTGACTAAGTCAGGAGGATCTGGGGCTAGGGTCACAAATTTATGTGGCTACCCCAGGCTTTGACTATAAACTTTGCAATTTTTTTTTTTAAGTTTTGAATTGTTCCAAATTCTAAAGCTTTTTTTTTGCGAAACATTTTATTTATTTATTTATTTATTTATTTATTTATTTATTTATTTATTTATTTATTTATTTATTTATTATTGAGTGTTTGTGTTTATGTGCCAAAGTGCTCAGGTCGTCAGGCTTGGTGGCAAGTGCCTTTACCCACTCAGTCATGTCATTGGCCGGAGCCTTTCACATCTTCCCCTTGACTGACTGAAGATCCATCCCACTGATGTCCCTTGAAGTGAGTATCGCCACCTGTTTAGGGGTTTACACTACATGGAGTGTAGTAGGATTAGATCGTAATGCTTTTTTTTTCTTTTTCTTTTTTTTTTTTTGGTTTTTCGAGACAGGGTTTCTCTGTGTAGCTTTGCGCCTTTCCTGGAACTTGCTTTGTAGACCAGGCTGGCCTCGAACTCACAGAGATCCGCCTGCCTCTGCCTCCCCAGTGCTGGGATTAAAGGTGTACGCCACCACCGTCTGGCAGATCTTAATGCTTTATTGGAGGGAACTTCAGCATTGCCCTTCCCCCAGACAGCAGGGTGGCCGGGAGTGCCAGGAACCCAGCCCGGGAGCCTGTGAATGTTGACGGTCAGCCTTCTAATTGTAGGACTCAAATAAATAAAGGCAGTGACCTCACTTTGGGGGCAGGGATGGAAGGAGGGTGGGTATTGCCTCTGTGGCATGGTGGCAACTAAGTACTTACTGTATACCTGGACTTTCCAATGCCTTTACAATAAATCTGCTAGTCCCTGTAAACCGTCTAGCCTCGGGTAATGAAAATGGGTAGCTGAATTCTGGTCATCTGGAGTGGGTTTGCTCAGTGATCTCTACACATTGGTGTCTATAGAGTTCTGCAGAGGTTGGGAACACTATCTGGATTTCCAGTTAGACACACCTACGTCGTGATGCTGGGAACATGCAACAGGAGGGCTGGCACTTATCAGTCTCTCCCCAGTAAGCCAGCGATGCCCCTTCACCTCTAAACCGTCTGGACTTGGTCTCTGAGTCTCTGTATGTTGTCCCAAGGTTAGTCTGAAAAATCTCAATAACTAACAGTTGTGTGACTTTTCTTGGGGAAACATCTATTTATCCCAAAGAAAGAGGATGCGGACTGATCAAAGACCCTGAGTAAGTCCAGCTTGGTGAGCCAATGAATTTATTCGGGTTACTTACAGGAGTATTACCAGAGAGGGCCTCAGGGTGTCCCATGATGTGATGTCCCTTTGTATCTCAGCCAAAGAATGGAGTAAGACACACGTTACCGGGGAGGTGGGCTCCCTCTTGCTGGTTCTTAGTCTCGTGGATAAAAGAATTTCAACATGGAGTCCGAAGGAAGCTTGAGTGGACGATGATGAAGTAAACTGTCAGTCCCGGCAGACAGCTGGGGCGCGGAAATGCGGACGAAAGCCAGGAGCGAGTCAGGGGCATCAGCCTAAGAGGGTGTGGGCAGGTGAGTCACCACTGAGAGGCCCCCGCGGCTGTGATTGGAATCTCAGGGGCTCCGTTGTGACTTTCCCCGTCATTCCATGATGGAATATTGATAAGCGCCGTCTTGTGATGGTCTCGTGCTGTGGTCCTCAACCTTCCTAGTGCTGCAACCCTTTAATACAGCTCCTCCTGTGGTGGTGGCCCCCCCCCCCAACCATAAAATTGTTTCGTTGCTACTTCATAACAGTAATTTTGCGCTGTTATGAACTGTAAAATAAATATCTGATATGGGACCCCTGTGGGGTTGTGACCCACAGGTTGAGAACCACCGATCTAGCGGGGCTCCTCATCAATATCTGTTTCAGAATGGTGATGGGTGTGTTCACGCTGGGGGAAGAAACACCATCATTGTACTAGCGGAACAATTCCAGCCCCTGCTCTTGAACAGGGTCGCGGCCGTGCCCACCCCCCCATCCCCCACCCCGGCCCTGGGTCATTGAGTGTAGTTGTTTGGGAAAATGAGCCATTGTCTTGACTTGCCTTGCTCCTTTGTCACTGGAGTGTTTCAGGTAGAAGACAGGACTCCTGCAGTCCCAACCAGTTAGTCTTAGTCACCTCCCCCAATAAGCCGATTACAGAGGCAAGTCCTGGTGAGAGCAGAGGAAGGTTTGTGCAGCGTGGCCATGGTGGGAAGAGGACAAATAAAAGGCCTAGTTATCACCAGCCAAAGAGACACGTCTCCACGCCTCACTGACCCCTGCCTGAGGGGTTCATTCTGGAGACCTCCACTCGCACAAAACTTGTGGCTTTGACAGAGAAATGAATGTCAGGGTGAGCCAAACGTGAAACAAAGTCAGATTTATTAAAAGCAGGGGAGAAGGAAAGAACCTAGCAGGACATTTCTCCAGGGACATTTCTCCACAGAGGGGATAGACAAGACTTTAGTGGCTCTGAAGTCACATCTTTAAAACTATTAGGAAGCCCTCTCTTTTAACATTGCTCAAAGAGTGTAGCTTCAACATGGCTACAATTTAATAAAGAATTTCAGCTGGGTGTGGTGCACACCTAATCCCAACACTCAGGAGGCAGGCAGATAGATCTCTGTGAGTTCGAGGCCAGCCAGACCCACATAGTGAGTTCCAAGACAGCAGGAGCGACAACATGAAAAGAAAAAAAAGAGAATGACTTTCTGTAAACAAAGTTGTGAGATGAATGTGAGGATGTTGTTCAGGCTGGGGGCGGGGGCGGGGAGAAGGGCTTTTTACTGTCCTTGACAAGATGTCTTCAGGAAAATACAGGTTGTCTCTGTTAGCAGTTTTGGCTTTACCAGTGATGGCTGAAAATTTTCAACTCCATCAGCAGGACGGGTAAGCCAGACTCTTGTTATGCCCACCCTCCCGTGTTTTTCCTGTCTTCCTGTCCTGCCTCCCAGTGACATCAAGTCCATCTTCAGGATGCTGACATGAGGTTTACCTTTCAGTGGATAAGAGGCATGCATAGCTAAGCAGTCCCAGTCAAGGTGTGGTCCAGCCCATCACGGATTTAACGAGGTGATCCAATAGGCTGCTGTTAATCTGTCAATCATCTGTTCATTGTTGATCCCGCAGTCACTTCCTCATCTGGGAGCAAGGTCTGTCTTAAGAAGTTTGCCCTTCCTGGAATGAAAGATGATTCAAGAGGAACAGTTAAAGACAGTGACATTTCTGCCTCCAAAGTCCATACACGAAATGAAAGCAGAGATGCCAGACTTTTGTTAGTAAACTTGAGGTCATAGGCTCTACCTCAGGAAGCCAGGTTCGGCCACCTAGTCTCCAGAAGCCGATTTAAACAGCCAATTCATAGCAAAAATCAGAAAAAGGATAGGGACTGGAGAGCTGTCTCCATGGTTAAGAGTGCTTGCTGCTCTTCCAGGGGACCCGAGTTTGGTTCCAACAACCACATCAGGTAGCTAGTTGACAACCAACTGTAATAACAGTTCTTCCGGCCTCTGTGAATACCTGTACACACACACACACACACACACACACACACACACACACACACAATTAAAAACAATAGAAACAAATCTTTGAAAAGGAGAGTACAGCTGGGTTCTTGTCTCGTTCCTGAGTGACCACTTGGATGCTGTCTTCCATGATTTACTGATTTAATTATGATTTTCTTTTTACCTGGTTACACCACGAGGAAAAGTCCCATGTCTTCCCTGCAAGCCTGAACGTGGTCCAGTCTAGGGTATTTGGATGGTCTCAGAAAGTAAAAGTGAGCTCAGTGTGGTGGTCCATGCCTGGAAGCTCAGCTCTTGGGAGGCTAAGGCAGGAAGATCAAGGAGTTCAAGGCTAGCCTGGGCTACATGAGACCCTGTCTTAAAAACAAACAATGAACCAACAGCAAAAAGAAACAACCAAACTAGGTAGTATGAGGCGTTGTGAAGACTTACTCATTTCTGTCTTGTGTATGTGAGTGTTTGTGTGTGTGCCTCTGCACCACGTGCGTGCCTGTGCCCACAGAAGCCAGAAGAGGTTGTCACATTCACTGGAACTGGAGTTACAGACCATTGTGAGCCATTATGTGGGTGCTGGGAACTGAACCCTGGTTCCTGTAAGAGCAGCCAGTGCTCTTAACCTCTGAGCCATCTCTCCAGCCCCAGTATAAAGTGTTTTAGAAGAAGCAGAACCAGTAAGTGGAGATCCTTGGCTTACAGAGATTGGACTCTGGATCGGGAAAGGGGATCTCACACTGGTGAGACCTAGCTGGATTGTTCAAGGACCGCAGTGAAACCACCAGACCAGACCTCTCTGTGGGTAGAAAGACAGGCTCACTGGGGATCAAACTGCCAAGGCTGTCATGGGGTGGGGGTGGGGGGGGTGGCAGGGAAGAGCAAAATGGTGGGAAAAGCAAGCAGATTGTAGTTGGCAGTCAGCAAATGGAGGGAGGGGCTTTGAGCTGATCCGGGCATGACTGACCCGGAACTAGATGCCCTTGCCTGAGGTAGCTGACCTTTGGAGTAGATTAAGGGAATTCCCAGCAGATAATGGATTAAGGGAGGTTCCTGGTAAACAGAAACCTGCCTTTTGGCTTTGGCTTGTGTTTTCCCAGCCAAAGACCATTTAGGACATTGTCACTAGCACCACCACTTTGGGGTGTCACTTTGGTCCTGACGGCAATCAAGAATTCTTTTCCTCAAAGGCTGTTCAGAGGTTACGAGAGAAGTCAGGTTTGTCGAGGTCATGGAAGAAATGGGAGCCGGGGTGGAAAGGAAGATGGGGAAGGAGAAAGGAAAAAAATTGAAATCCACAGCAGGGGATTTTCACACGCCACCTCAGTCACCTGCAATGATTTTTTTAGCCCAGGATGGCCAGTCCTAGGGAAGTCTGCCTCCTGCTGCTCCCCCCGCCCCAATGCAGTAGATTATACCATCTTTACATAATACATCCTTAGCACATGTGATACCAAGATTCAAATGGGTCCAAAGCCCTGGGCCCCACGTCAAGCATGATGGGTCAGCATCTTGTGTCCTAACTTGAATGGGAATTAAGAGAGAAAAGAATTCTAGGAAAGAGTGGGGTACATTCTTCCTATGAGGCTCCAGGGCCATAAGCGATGGTGTCAGCCGCCAGCCAGCTGTCCCAGCATTCTGGGAATTCCCCAGCCACCAAGAAAGACAAGAAAGGGAGTGTGGCTTATGCACTTTGGTGTTTGGAAACCAGGAAAGGGAGCGGTGGGGCGGAAGGATGAAGAAAGGTGGGGGGCACGTTGAGATGGAGCACCTGCCTTTGCCTCTCTTCCAGCGTGGGACTCCTGGGGGAATTTCTTTGGGGCCCACTGTCCAAATATTCTAACGGATGAAGGGAGGAACATTAATGCCTCCTCTCCTGCAGGGGACATGACAGCCCTACTCCAGGGGAGGGCAAATCAGGGAGGTCGCCTAGCTGTTGGAGGAGGTGGTGGCCGAGGCCCCAGGTCCAGTGCGTGGCACCTGCCCTGGCATCACCTCCCACACCCACCAGAGCCACCAGATGGTGTGGAATGCCAGAGAACTTGTCCCAGAGATCCCAGAAATAAAAACGGAGGCTACAGTGTGAACTGCCAAGCAAAGGCTTAATTAGAAACGAGGCTGAGGAAGAAGGAACAGCTTGGGGCTGGAGAAACCCAGGCTGCTGGCCACAGCAGGTGTGTTCCCGGTGGCCTGACGGGGCAGAGATAAGCGACCTCTCTTCCTCATGGTGGGACTTTTCCATGTAAGACAGATCAATGTCCTGTACCTGGTTGGGTTTTCCCTTTAATAAGATATGGGGAAATGAGGGGCAGATGTGTCCCACACATTGTTTGCTAAAGAGGAGAGAAATTCAATGGTTACTGTGCTTGGTAGATGAAGGGTGTGAGAACTTCACCTCTTGTCCCTGCAAGAGGTTGCCATTTTATCATTACTTAGAAAGTTTGATATAACATCAAGACGACTACCCGAAAGCTGAGGCAGGAGGATGACTTCAAGACCAACCTAGATTACAGTTGTTTTCTATAAAATAAGCTAATATGTACTTTCCCCTCCTATTTTTAGACATTTATTGTTTATTTATTTATTTATTTGGTTTTTCGAAACAGGGTTTCTCTGCGTAGCCCTGGATATCCTGGAACTCACTCTGGAGACCAGGCTGGCCTCGAACTCACAGAGATCCACCTGCCTCTGCCTCCTGAGTGCTGGGATTGAAAGTGTGCACCGCCACCGCTGCCGCCACCACCACCACCTGGCAAGATTTATTTATTTTTTATTTGAAATGTGTGAGTGTTTTGCTTACATGTTAAGTGTGCCGTGTTTGTGCAGCACCTGCCACGGCCAGAAGACAGCATCCTAGAACTAGAGTTAGAGACAGTGGGAACCTGTGGCCTCTGCAAGAGCGACAAGTGCTCTTAACTGCCGAGTCCTTTCTCCAGCCCCTATTTATTGTTTTTAAGTTCCATTTCAGTAATAATATAAAATAACTGTTGTTGCTGCTGGGCCTTGGGAGGTAGAGGCAGGAGGAACGGAAGTTCAAGGTTATCC